CATGAAGAGTTGAAACACTGAAAGCCATCATTGAAGAGATGCTTTCACTTGGATTCTCAATATTTTCAAAGGTTGTTGGTGTTTAATTCAAGTCAAAAGAGTATTATTTTTTACTATTTATAACTGGTATATTTATATCAATATTCTGAGAAGTCATTGATAATGTGTTTCCCACCATAAGAATTATGTAACAATATATAGCCAAGGAGACTTTCACATTTTGGCTCCATTCAAAAAAATTTAATTTTTTATTATTATTCTGATTTTGGCTCCAAATGAAATTTTAGACCATTTGCACAATTGATTTCTCGGTGGAGTCTTCAAATAAATTGGGAAAGTGTTTCACTTAAAGACAAATGAAACGTACATGACGTTTTGCATTATTTTTTTATTAAAAATGTTCAGCTAGTCATTAACATGATTTAAAGTTTACGTATCTTTTTATGTTTTAAAACCGTCAATTTAATTTTAAAGTAGATAAGCATATACTCTTGAAAGTGTGTTGAAAGGTTAAAATTATCATTATACATTATTTTTTAAAGAATGTGAAATTTCTAAAAAATTCACATACGTGAGAAGGAGGGAGTATTTAATATAGATTCTATATAGTACACCTTGTAATTAACTACAAACACTATTCACTATTATAAAATTTTCACATCCGATTTTTAAAATTCAATATGTTTCATTCAGAAAAACTGTATACTTTTTTAAGATAGATTTGAAATTCTAATCTTCAAAGAAAAAAGGTATGCTCCATTCAAATAAGATGGGGTAACAAAATAAATTTTTTTTAAAATACATACACCCTAAAATGGTAATTTCCCCAACCCCTCATGTTAGTCTCTTCATTTTTTCAAGGGCTACCTGCCTCTGTCCCCCTGTAATATAGTATTTCAACTCGGATCCACCCATACTTTGCATAGTTGCTCATCTAATGGGAAATGTGCGATCTTGAAGTCCCGTAATTGCTAGATTGTTCTTGGACAAGCTGAGGCTAAATGAGAAATTTATGCATATGGATATTCAGCAATACATCAAAGAGCATTGGAAATTGGTGTCTACAATTCCACAATGCCAAAGAGGAAGACTTCTTGAACTGAAAAATGCTTAAGAAGGGGTATAAAGACCAATTTGCACATATTCGAGGATATGTTGAAGAGATTCATTCTCAGAACCCGGATTCTATTGCATTCATTGATACATATCCAAATGATATTGGTGAAGATGTGTTCAATAGATTTTATGTATGCTTTAACATACTAATGAGACAATGGGTTGGGTCTTGTAGACCTATTATAGGGCTAGATAGTACATTCTTGAAAGTTGCGGTGAAAAGAATTTTATTGACTGTAGTAGGTCACAATGCAAACAATCAAATCTATCCAGTTCCTTGGACTGTGGTTCAATATGAGAATGCCGATAATTGGTTGTGGTTAGTTAAGCAGCTCAAAAATGACTTGAATCTAGCGGATGGCAGCCGATTTGTCGTTATATCAGACCACTCAAAGGTAAGATTCTCTCATTACCTTTGTAATCCATTACATGTTGGTAAAGATCTCATTCTCATTTTGTTTTTCAAATCGTTTGATAGGGTCTTTTGAGTGCTGTTAAACATGAATTGTCAAATGCTGAACATAGAATGTGTGTGAAGCATATTGTAAAGAATTTGAAGAAGAACCATGCCAAGAAGGACATGCTGAAGACATTAGTGTGTAAATTGGCTTGGAGTTACAATGAGAAGGAATATGAGAAGAATCTCAATAACTTGAGATGCTATGATGATGCATTGTACAATGATGTCTTGAAAGAGGAGCCACATACTTGGTCAAGGTATTTCTATAAGCTCTGTAGTTGTTGCGAGGATGTTGACAACAATGCTACCGAGTCATTCAACTCAACAATCAGCAAAGCAAGAGCGAGGTCATTGATTCCAATGCTAGAAACAATAAGGAGGCAAGGAATAACTCGAATTGTCAAGAGGAACAAGAAATCATTGCGTCATGAAGGTAAGTTTTCTAAATATGCTTTGAAGACTCTTCCATTGGAGAAAACAGATGCGGATAGAAGTATAGTATATCGTTGGTGTTTTTGAGGTTTATATAGATAGGAATGGTCATAGAGTGGATATGCAGAAAACACTGTGTTCATGTGGGAAGTGGCAAATAAGTGGGATACCTTGTGAGCATGCTTATGGTGCTATGATAGAAGCTGGTTTGGATGCTGAAGACTACATATCCGGGTTCTTCTCGACAGATCTGTGGTGATCCAGCTATGAAACAGCCACCATGCCATTAAGGGGACCTAAGTATTGGATGAATGAAGGTTATAGGTTGGTAACCGCACCACCAGAACATGTTCCTCCTGGAAGAAAGAAAGAAAAATCTAAAAAGGGGAAGTTTTCAAGGATCAAAGGGAAGAATGAGTCACCAAAGAAGAAGAAAAGGAAGAATAATGAAGTTGAAAAGCTAGCCAAAACTGGTCGAACCATACATTGCAAGAGCTGCGGTGAAGCTGGGCATAACGCATTAGAATGTCAAACGTTCCCTAAGGAGAAGGTACCGAGGAAGAGAAAGTCAAAGAGTGATGGCCACGATGAGGTCTGTTTCTGTTTAAAAGTTTATGTCTTCATTCCCTGCCTTTTTAGTAGCTTTCTTACTTCTACTTACCTACTCAGTTTGAAAAAAAAAGCTAAGAAGGCAAAGAAGGATACCAAGGAGAAGAAGAATGATAACAAGGAGAAGAAGTCTAAGAAGGCGACTGAAGGGCCGGATACGCTCACCATCACACAACCTTCTCAAGCAACAAAAGAGTAGTTTAGATGTTAGGCTTCTCGTAAAATGGCATTTATATATGTTGTCAACAACATTATTGCCGTTTCAGATGTGTTTTGGTGCTAGACTAATGTAACAATTATGATGACGTTTTTGAGAAGAAGCTTTGTTTCAGATTTCATTTTGATTTCTTTCTCTTCGAATCAAACTTTCATTGCATAACACCCGAAGGTCTTAACATAACAACAATGCTACAAATCAAGGGTCTATATCTTAGCTTAACAAGACACATTCAATTACCAAACAGATCACAGAACCTTTCCACAAAGCCATGCCATTGAAACTACCACAACCACAAGTACACAAACTGTCTTCATGCTCGCCTTCTCCATACTCTCCTTTGGTACCTTCAGCTCTTGCTCAATTATCTCCTTGATCTTCTTGTTCATCTCTATTTCCATCTCCTTCACCATCTTCCTTTGAAGCTCTACATTGTCCATCACCATCTTCCTTAAATCATTGACGTCTTCCAAGAGTTGGTTATGCTTAATCTCCTCTAGAAGAGCTTCACCAACCCAACTGAATAGGTGTTTCTCCTTTTTATCCTTAAAACATGCCCGAATAGAAAGCTCAATCTACTGAACAAACAGAATTTTGATAAATTTTAAAAACCAATACATTACCTTCACGCCCCTAATGCATCTGTAGAATCATCGATATGGATTCTCATCTGTCTTTGAAGTGAAGGTAGTAATCTCGTCACCACACCAGCACCTACTCGGAACACCACTCTGAATAGTGTTCCAAGTTAGTTGAGACGAACCAGAAGAAGAAAATTGACTCATAACTTGATTTTTTCACTTAGACAAAACGAAGGACAAGAGAGTGTGAGGTCGGAACGAAGCTGAAGCTGTCGGGTGTCGATGGAGAGAAGAAGAATGAAGAACACAACCGTAATTTCTAAGTTTCCCCAAATCGATTTGGGTTTAGTAGTCTGTTGCGTTTATTAGGGTTAAATTCGGGTTTAGAGACATTTGGTCGGGTTATGATACATATTTTATCACGAAAATTAGATATCTTTGTTTTGTATTTTTTAACCTTAAACTCGAAGGATAATGTGACTAATGACTATGCCTAGCCCGATTACTCCCCACTTAATCGCTAGGACCACCCTACCCGCCTCGATTAATGATTAATCCCCTAAAAAATCAATTACACGATTACTTTCCGCTTAATCCGATTACTTTCCGCCTAATCCAATTACTCTCTGCCTACTCTTACATATCCCGATTATTATTAGATTCCAAGTATAATTTTTTTTTTTATTTTTGTTATTCAATCATTTAAATTGGGAGTTTGTGATGTTTTACAATAACTTATGTTCAAACTTTAATAAAAATCATAAAAAATTATCTCAGGAATATAGTTTTATGTGTTTACTGTATTTATGAAAAAAATATTGGATTAATATGTTTTAAGAATATTAAAATAATCCTAAAACTAATCTCTGATTAATCTCTGATTAATCTCTGATTTTAATCCAATTTTCCAATTAATTGCTAAGTTCATACCAAACGCGTGACTATCAACTAGCAATTTTTCAAACAACAATGGTTATGAGTCATGACAACCAAGTGGATGCAGGTCATTATTTTATTTAAAGTTAATTATATTCAATGATTATGCTCGCTTGACCAAGTCTCATAATTAAGTCTCATGTTTTACCTTTTATATATGTCCGACTATTTTCAAGTAAATCAATAATATTCTGGAATGTAATTTTCTTCTAGTGGTTTCATATTTTTTAAGAAATCTGAAAATATAAAATTTTAATTCGTGTATCAACTATAATTCTTAAAGTTGTACAATTTACTACTTAAATGCAAATAAGTTTATTACTTTTATTTGTGTTATCGTGTGTTTGAGCATAGATAAAATTTCTTGTGGTCTTACTCGTTTTGAAATTGAGTCTCCGGGATTGGAACAATGTGAAAGGTAATAATATCGGCTCGGAGGCTAACCAAAATAAGAGATAGATATTTTTTTGACCATTTCTTGTAAGAAAATCTAGTTAGTTGAGTCTGACTAAGTCAATATGTTATAGGCTTATAGCTCTAAAGCTAAAGCCAGAGATTTGACACTTTTTGAGCATGTTTTCATATTTTGTTTTTCTCAATTTGACTAAAATTATATTAAGGTCTCCAAAAAAAAAAAAAATCTTTAATGCCTTTAAATACATATCCGCCTCTGAGTTAAAGAATATTTGCAAGAAATGAATAATCTAAACACAATTTGTTTAATTTACTTAAAAGACTAACTCGATTCATCTTTGAAACAAAAAGCACTAGTATATATATTGTAAAATCTATTTTGCTCGGTCAAGGTTGGAAGAAGTCAAACTCTAGGTGCCAAAATTAGCGAGTAGAATGATTGAGAGCATATTATATATAAGATGCAAGTGGTGGATCGTGGATCGTATATATATATAGGTTTGCTTATAAAACACAAAGAGGTCAAAATTCAAATTATGATTTCAGGAAAGAAAAAAGAAAAAGGACAAAAAGAGAAAGAGGATGGAGAAACAATTATATCCAAACATGGAAGCTGCTCACGTCGAACGAGGCATCGGAACACTAGACTCGTCGCCGGAAAAGGAGAAGGAAAAATCCCATAAGCATAGAGGACTATTTCACCTCCACCATCACTCAAAAGATGAGAAAGATGAAGACAAAAAGAAAGAAGGATCAAAGAGAGAGAAGATAGCTGCAGCAATGGTTGGTCTTGGAGCGACACTCAAGAAAGTTAAGCATCCGCGCCACCATGGAAGCGGTGGAAAAGAGGAACAAGAAGGAGCAGCAGAGGAAGAAGAAGTAGAAGAAGAAGAAGAGGAGGAGGAGGAAGATGATGGTGGAGATGAAGAAGAGGGAGGCAAGTTTAGTGCTTTCATTTCGATAATCGCCAAAGCATTTGAAGAATAGAAATTGTACATTAATTTGTTATTACTTTGTTGTATTTTGTTTATCCTAACTTGTTATCAAATTTAGTATTTGTAACGTTTCCCTCTTAGCAAACGTTAAAATGAGATTTTTAATTAAATGATTTATAAAATGGTATATAGTTTTATATATTATATTTGTTATATATTTCGAGTACTTGTAAAAGTAGTTTAAGATATAAAGTCCTATCTTTACTTGTGTGAAGATAAGAAATACATCTTACTGTCCTGATGTGGTTCGAAGTTTGAAGTTTCTAATATAATCATGAGGCTGACACAAAACAATATACCTATATAAATATATATAGTTGATTGTACATGGTTGACATTTTAGTCTACGTGTATATATGATGGGTTGATAATCAATTAGCTTATAAGGAGATATTAAATTACAAAATGGTGAAAAGTTTCATGATCTTTAATACTAGCTAGAATGTATTTATTACAAGATCAAACATATCACCAACGATTTGACCTAATGGTTGAACATCTTAGTTACCAAAAATGTAGGAAGGTCACAGGCTCGATTCATGTTAGGAGGGTTCTACTCTATAAAAAGAGTTAAATTATATGGTATGAGACTCGTCATAGAGAATATACGGATCCAGAATCTCCTAGTCATAAAAGAAAAAGAAAAGACAAATGACGGCTTGTCTTTTCTTGTGGTAGGAAAAGAAATTAGTTATAGCATAATATAGTCAAACTGGTTGATATGTTAGTCTTCATGTATAATTGATTGATCATATATACCAATATGTTTAATAAGATCTACAGATATATATTGATAAAATCAGTTTAAAGGCGGAAGATTTTAGGCAAGATTTGATGCAATGTATGCACATTTGTTGTCACATACCAGTATTGTGTGATCTAGAATTGGTATGCATAGATTAAGTGATTAACAAACAAACAAAAAAATTGATTCAACCAAAACAGTTCACATTTCACATTTACCATATTGTGATACTTAGCTTACATACTACTTGTACTTATCGTGAGCAGACTGATGGTGAGTTACTTTTAGATTTACATGAATGAACTAATTTACCAATGTGCATGCATTCTTAAATCCATCCATTAAGGCAAATCTTTAAATTTGAGGCGTATAAGAAATTTTCTCATGAATTAAAATTGATGTATTTGATGATTTGATAGCTCCATATAAATGTATATAATCATAACGTCTCGACTGTCACATGTTGTGGAGCCTAACATCTGTTCTCGACCACCCCCTTAAACGGTATATAGGTTATTTAAGAAAATTCTAAAAACTTGTCAATTGACTAATGTAGTAATTTCGTTTCTTATCTGTTTTGGTGTATAATGTATACTCCCTCCGTTTTCGAATAGTTGTCGTTTTAGAGAAATTTTTTTTGTTTTTAATTAGTTGTCGTTTTCAGTTTTCGATGCAAAATTTATTACTTTTTTATTTTTTATATTTATTTTTATTATGCAACTTGATTTACTATTGGTTAAATTATGTTTAGGTAGATAATTAATGATATTTTTATATTGAAAAACTAACGACATTAATAGTTTCTTAATTTGTGTGCATATAGTTAAAACGACAACTATTCGAAAACGGAGGGAGTATGTAAGCAAACAAATGTTCAATTAATTCTAGACGTGTTTTGTGTTTACCTAACTTGTCGTTGTGGTCATTTACTCGTCGTGAAATTAAGCCTTGGGTTTGGAACAATGTGAAAGGTAGAGCCAGTTCTTAATCCCAACCAGATTAGGTTGACTTCGAAATTTCATATACTTAACGACCGAGTTTTTATAAGTCCATTTTTGTTAGAAAATCGTGTTAATTTTAAATGGACAGAAAATCTCATTAGTTGAGTCGATTTAAATAATTCCTGAAGATTTGACTATTTTTATTTTTCCGTTCTTCAAAAATTGTTAATTGGTCTCAATAAAAAATTTTAAAAAAAATTGCTTGGAACCTTTGAATTTTCATTGCCGCCTTGAGTTGATAGAATGTTTGCAAGGAAAAAAACTAAAACTCAAAAAAAAAAAAAAAAGACCATTTGTTCTTCTTAAAAGTTAAAACACTAGCTAATTCAATTCATTTTTAAAACTAAGTAGCACTAGTTAATGTTGTAAATCAATTTTACTCGGTCAAGGTTGGATGAAGTCAAAGTCTTGGTGGCAAAATTAGGGAGTAGAATAATTGAGAGCACATTAATGTAACAAGATAATGGGGCCCTAATATATAGTTGATCAATAGTAAATGATGCAAGTGGTGGTTCATGGACCGTGTTTAATGTTTATATAAATATGCATAAAAACACAAAAGAGCTCAATTCACGATTTGAGAGAAAGAACTAAAAACATCAAGAAAAAAAAAGAGAGAAAGAGGATGGAGAAACAGTTACATGAATCCATGGAGGCTACTTATATCGAAAAAGGCATCGGAACACAAGACTCATCGCCGGAAAAGGAGAAGGAAAAATCCCATAAGCATAGAGGACTTTTCCATCTCCACCATCACTCAAAAGATGAGAAAGATGAAGACAAAAAGAAAGAAGGATCAAAGAGAGAGAAGATAGCTGCAGCAATGGTTGGTCTTGGAGCCACTCTTAAGAAGATTAAGCACGGAGGCGGTGGAAAAAAGAAAAAAAGAGGAGGAGGAGGAGAAGAGGAGGGAGGAGAAGAGGAGGGAGAAGAAGAAGAGGAGTCGTCATCGGAGGAGGAAGAAGAAGAAGGAGGTGATGGTGGGGATGAAGAAGAGGGAGGAGGCAAATTTAGTGCTTTCATTTCAATGATCGCCGAAGTCTTTGAAGAATGATAATTTCATTTGTGATCAGTTTGTTATCAGTTTTTTTTTTTCAAATTATAGCATTTGTAGTGTTTCATATGGTATGTTGAATTGAATAATAATTTTATCTATAATATTTTGATATGTATTTGGAAAAGGAACACAAGAAATATATATGGAGTCCTTCTTGTGGCAATGTATAAAAGAAATTAATATAGTATAAATAGGTGCATAGTTATTTTTAATATATAGTGCATATATAAATGCACCTTCGTGACGACCTGTTCGAATCTTCAGTACTAATTAGACAGCCTTTGTTTATGTTATTGGATTAGTCTAAGGATCTCAAGCTCAGAGTTTAGTTTTCTATGCTAATTAAAATATACTTTTATAGAGTTGATCGGTAAATTGGGAGTAAAATAGAGTTGATCGGTAAATTGGGAGTAAAAGTCTACTTTTGTAGGTCCTCAAGCTTCTAATCTAATTTTGGTTGGCATAAAGAATTTCTGGTTAATCGATCATATAGATGTGTACTTACATAACTGATTAAATCTGGTTGACATTTTAGTCTACATGTAATATTTTTGTTTTTTAAACAATGTTGATGGTATTTTTATCACCAAAATTCACTTATCTTTTTCGTATCAAATATTAAGATAACTCCACAATTAAGATAACTACAACGATTTAATGATATGTAGCCTACTTTCACTACAGGAAATGAAGGTATTCATAGCGTCCGAAAACCGCTATATAAAGCTACTATAGTGTTGGTGTCGGATCCCGCACCAGAAGTACGAGACCAACCAAAGATTGCCACGTAGTCAAGATAATGGCCCATAAAGGGCAAAACCCGTTGAGCCCATGAGCCAAAGAAACGGTCGAAATGGTTATCACCACTTCGAGAATCCGAAGTGACTGCACTGTGGTACGAGTTCGGTGTAGAGGACACGGGTAAGTCGGTTCAAGGAGACTTGGGCCGAAAAGGCGAGGCCCAAGAAGATCAGAGTCAACTCAAATTCAAACGTTGAGCATTAAAGTCGAAGAATCAAAACGGACGCATTTAAGAGGGAATAATTGTACTTAATTATTCATTTTAATGTCAATTCTCTATGTATAAATATGAAGGCTAATGGCCATGTAAAAGGGGATCTTCTTCTCAAGAAAGAAATATATAGCAATTTTTGTAGCAATTCATAAGCTTTTTACATATTCATTTTTTGTCCCTCAAGAATAATCTTTCCTACTTAATAAAATACTTGAGTGTGTGAATCCGACATCCACATTTTGGCGCCGTCTGTGGGGAGAGATTAGGATTCTTGAGTGGTCAGATTTTTTCCTTTATCACACTTCCGAGATAAGCAACAATGTCCGGAGGAGACACCGTTGAGACATCATTGGCTGAAACCCTCAAAGCTATGCAGCAAACCATGTCGGACATATCACAAAAGTTCTCGGATGTGGAAAAAGCCGTCGATACGTTGCAAACATCCCAGGTATCTCTTAGTCAAAACGTCAATACTATACAAACTCGTGTTCGCTCTTTAAGTGCAGGAAACCTTGTGGGAATCCGAAGAGGGATATTCAACTCGCCAAGTTCCGCTGCACGAAATGAAACCAGCGGACAAACAACTCCTGGTGCTACTAATAACGTGGCTCAGACGTTGGAAGAAGAGACGCAGCTCGGAGATGAAGAACAACTTGCAGCTCAATACGAGCAGGAGAACCTCGACCAGTTTGAGACCATGAGGAAGGTTAGCCAGGAATTAAAAGAAATGAAATCAAAATTTCATCAAGCTACAAGTTCGGAGCCAGACATCAATCGAGTCATTGAAGAGGCTAGGCGAACACCTTTCATCTCGCGAATTGCAAGTTTGAGGATCAAAGATTCCCGGAAACTCAAATTGGACCCTTACAGCGGATTGGAGGATCCAAAAAGCTATCTCGCAGCTTTTCTGATCGCTGCTGGAAGAGTCGAGTTGGATGAAGCTGATGAGGACGCTGGCTACTGCAAGCTTTTTTCGGAGAATCTATGTGGCCAAGCTCTAATGTGGTTTACCCAATTAGAGCCGGGTTCGATCAGCAATTTCGACGAACTATCAGCCGTATTCTTAAAGCAATACTCCATCCTTATGGATAAAAGCGTTTCGGATGCCGACCTTTGGAACTTATCGCAAGGATCTAATGAGTCGCTTCGATTTTTTATCACCAAATTCAAAGGAGTGCTATCAAAGCTCCCAAGAATCTCGCAGCAATCAGCTTTATCTGCCCTACGAAAAGGATTGCGACATGATTCAAGGTTTAAAGAAGACTTAATACTTCATAAACCAGACACAATTCAGGATGCACTCTTCCGCGCGAATAACTGG